AGCATTGTATCACAGAATACTTGATCATATAAGCATGTGGAAAGGTCTGATTTAAAGTTGTTTGAGTTGTAGTGTTTGAAATTTCTTGATTTAATCACTTTTGGCTCTTTACGGGGAACGGAAATTTTTCTCTGTATACAGATTAAGCTGTGATCACTTATCCCCAGATGAATGACACCCGAGCCATTTATCAATTCCAGTTTATTGGTGAATGCTAGATCTATTAAGGTTTTACTATTAGCTGTAATTCGCGTTGGATCACTAATTAATTGTTGAAATTGGAATGTCTGTGCAATTCCAGCAAGCTTGTTTGTCTGAGCGTTAGCGCTGTTACTATCCAAGCGAGACCAATCGCAGTTGTAATCTCCAAGTAAAATGATTTCCTTGTTTTCAGAGTCCATTCGAGTAATTAAATCCTCGAATGCATTGAATATTTCAAGTGTTGTATTGGGTGGTTTATACCAACTATTAATTAAGAATGGCTTGGATTTTGGTTTTGAAATTTCAAGTGTAATTGTTTCGAGATTATCGTCAGTTAAATCGTCTCTTATTATGAAGTTTATTGAGGTTCTTATGTATATTGCGACTCCACCACCATGCCTGTCTTTTCTCGCCAACATAGCCGCCATGTTGCCAAATAAATACAAGCACGTGATCACAGCACGAAATCTGATTGGTTATACTTAAAATTCCACCGATAAAAATCGTGTAATATCAAGACGTTTTGTAGCCTGCTCACAGACGTTGTAGTTCTTACGCCGAGCGACGAAATACTACCGTCTGCTTACCCGAGCTGCATATTCAATTCCCTTTGTTTTAGGAGCCAATCATCTGGCAGTGTTCAAAAAAGTTAGAGCCAATTGGAAGCCGCCTTATTGAGAGATTAGCTCAGGGGGAAAGCCCTTGCACATGCATTGGAATATATTGTTTGGGTTGAAACTTGAAATTTGTTTACTTGCGTGGATATATTTTGGAAACTATAGCGTTGAACTCCACGATGTTTACGTAGAATAATATTGTGATCATCTTCTCGCATGTTCAGCAAACAATCGGTGTATATAAAGTGTTAAAGCATGCAGTAGGCGAAATTTAAATTTTTGTTAACAATGACAAACAATCAATCGGGAAACTCGAGTATATCAGGATATGTCCAAATGTTGCTTTTGATACTTCCTTCCCGACTTCGACGAAAACTTCTAAAATATTAAGCTCTCATTGTCATATAGAAAAGTATAGCCAAGTTAGAGTATAAACGTTTCGAAGTTTGGGCGAATTGGAAAATTCATCACGGAGCAATTTTAATACAAGTTTCTCGGGTTTGTGTTGTGTTTACAGTTTACGTTCAGAAGTGGTTGCTCAAACAGCAAATTAGTTTACTTTGAAGCTAATATTTCGCTTTCTAAGCCACAGTATTATATAAAATTTTCTGTCTTCCGAGTTCTGTTGTCTTATAAAGACTAACCGTTAAAATTTCAGCGAAATATTATATTCGGCATTTGATGCTGCATGTCTGGCTAAGATTCATACAGTATAAATATGCCAATCCTGTCCGCGTTTTAAACATAACCGAACATCTTTAATATCCAAATCTGATCATTAATGGTGCATTTTATTACCTGGACAAGTATCAGTATCTTTAAATTCAATTTATGTGCAATTTTGACCAAAATTAAACCGACGACTGCTTTCAAATATATATATATATATATATATATATATATATATATATATATATATATATGTTATTTACCGGATTGGAGGTCCGTATAGAGAAATATTTCTCGAGGTCTTAAAAACGGGCCGAAGGCCGAGGGACGTTTTTAAGACCGCGAGAAATATTTCTCTATACGGACCGACAATACCGGTAAATAATATTTTTATTTTTTTTAATTCCTCCTCTGGATTTCCCCAATCACTCATCCCGCACGCGAATGAAGCTGCCAAATAAAATATCGTTTCTATCAATGCTATCAATGCTAATAGTAAATCTTTTGTGAGATAGTAAAGTTCGCTTTCACTGTGTTCTTCATTGTCTGCAGACATTTTAATATTTTAAAAAGTAGCTTTTAAACTCGTCTTTAAATTTTGAAAAATAAAAACATTGGCTCTACGGCTTTAAATCTCGCGCGGTCCGTACGGGCTCATACGGACCGCTCACGTAGCCATCAGATTGCAGAAAAGCGTAAAATATGACTTCGGACCGCAAGAAAAAGAAAAAAAATTTAACCGTGCCCACAAGCTGTTGTGATATTAAGTGAATCACTATCGATGCACTAACCAGGTAAATTCAGAATACGCTACGTACAACATTTCTAACATTGGAAGAGGTGATGTCTGATTGGTCTGTGAGAGACTATGATGAAATTTGCTAATAATAGAATTGCATTCCTGAATATGGAAACATGACACTTAATTTTGAAGCTTGGGATCGATCATTATGGTTTTGGTAAAAACAGATCATATATTGCACCATAGTGCAGCACTCTCCCCGTAACTAGTAAAATTGTCTGGCATTAGATAGATTAAAATAATACAGTAAGGCATATCAAGACTGCACATTAATTGCCACTTGCATGAAGGGTTAATATATGTGTATTTATTATATAGTAGAGAGTGAGATAGTGAAAAATACACAGTGAGATATTTTCCACATTTTCACTAGTGCATGAAGATATCGATCACGTGACTTTTTCTAATTTCACATTTTTTTGCTTGGGACTATATAATAAACAGAACATTACATGGTGGCTTGAAGATATGACTTTTATCTTCTCGTGTTAAAAAACAATATTTTACTCACTCGCTGTGCTCGTTTGTAAAATATTGATTTCACCACTCGAAGATTAAAATCATATCTACGCACTGCTGTGTAATATCTTTAAATAGTACATATACATGCATATGATATTTTTCATTTTCATGGTGTATAAAGATGTATATAAATGTATCATGATAATAATGTCATCTTTTATTTTGTAGAAATTGTCTGTTTAATGCAACACAAGCGATGGCACAGGCATCAACATGGAAGGCAACAATGAAGTTATAATTATAATACCATAACAACATAACAACATAATTATATGATTATAATAACTTTATTGAAGTGTAAATTTTTATAACAGAGCACAATCGTGCTCCACTAAATTATACATTTTTTAATTGTTTACTGCTAGTTAATAGAGGCTACAAAAGTCAAATACTGTATACCTTCCAGAAAGTATGCCACTTTGACTATGGAGCCTCGTTTTTGTGTATTTGACATGTCTCAATCATGAAAATGAGACTCTACAGCCTATAACCAAGATAATATACTTTCTGGAAGCATGTATTAATTAAAATACAGTTGTTCAAAATTAATCAAGCTTTAATTGTACGTTTAGTTCAGGCACAGATTTTCTGGGGGAGGGGAGGTGCACCCCTAGAAATTATTTGCATCCCCCAGAGGCATTTGGCAACGCCCCTAAAAGTTTTTGCACCCCCACAAATTATATATATTATTTTTATAATTATATATATTATGGTCTCAGATCTTGCCATGCAGGCCTAGAAAACAAATTTTGTTAAACTTTTTCCTTGGCCTTTCTGAGCATTGCCACCAGGCCCCAGCTATTGCAAGCACCAGCAACCCCATCCCCACATATATCTACCCCGGTCCTCCGAACGAAAATATGAAATATGTTCTGTGGCCTGACTGGAATCCGATTTGGGAGGGGTGAATTATGTTTCTATCAATGCTAAATTTACTTAACCGTTGATTTAAAATAGTACAAAGGAATTTACTGAGCTAGTCACACAAATTCCTCTGTAGTTATTGGGGTCAGTTTTATTTCCTGACTTAAAAATTGGCGTAATGAGACCTTCACACCATTGATCTGGGAAATGCCCTGTTTTTAAAACGAGGTTAAAAAGTTTATGGTATAATTTAAGTAATATTTTGACGCTATGCTTCAGCATTTCGTTTTTGATCTTGTCGGAATAAGCAGATTTGTTGTTTTTTAATGTCTTTGCAGCACTCAAAACTTCTGCTTCAGAAATAGGTTCATCAAGAAAATTATTTGGTGTTTTTTCTTCAAGTTTTGTTAATTTTTGTAAAATGTTATGCTGTTCTGTTTCTAATGTATGTTTAGCATGCAAGGATTGGAAATGAGTGAGCCAGCTGTTAACTTCAGACCGGTCCGAGCAATTTTTGTACCGGCCTTATATGTAAACATATATGTATTATAAATAATATCGTCTGGAGTAGTTGGAGTTACCATAGTTCAGGGCCTTCGCTCGAAACGTCGAAATTCTCCTTATATTTTTCAGGTAGTTGCATCCATACTAACGAAAGCTTGTTTATATTATTGGCACTACCCACATTGGCACAGACATTTTAAGATTATAAATAATACTCTGAATGACATGAAGTCGTTCCGGTTTGATTTGTTCAGGGCCGATATAACAATTTATGTACTATAATTTAATCAGTAGTATTACACAAGCCATGCTCCAATATTTGCATGTGATGAATGGTCAAGTGGTAGTTATGGTCTTCCTAAACCTAAGTCAGGATGTCCAGATGGTAAGAAGAATGGGTGGCGTGAGGGCTGGAGGTATCAGGATATGGATGACAGTGATAAGAGTACAAGTAGTCGGTCAGGAATATCTAGTTGGTCACATATGGATGTTACATTAGTTGGACGTAAAAAAGATGTAAACACGACATTCTGCATGAAACAGCATACTGGAATAGAAGCAAGATTTTGCTCTAAAGGTAAGTTTTTCTCTACCTACATATGCATACACTGACTACCAATGCATATGTTACAGTATGAACTCCAGGGATTCTGTAATATAGGCATTTGGATAATAATAATTACCAATTATTGGACGAGGTTGAGCAAAATATCGTGATTTGTCGGTGGCGAGCAGATCAATTATTTGCCAATGTCGAAGGCAGAGGCAAATAATTGATCTGCGAGCCATCGACAAATCACGATATGATATTTGTGGTGTTACTCTGAGTGTATATCCACACCGGGCGAGCTTGAAAAATATGCCCGGCCACGGTGGGATTCGAACCTACGACCTTTGGAATACTAGCCCAATGCTCTTCCAACTGAGCTACGCGGTCAGGACGGTTCGAGTAAGTGATATTTCGGAACAGAATCTAGTTCCTTCGATACCAATGTATTCTAGTAATATGAATTTTTTTCTATGTTGGTGTAGTGTACTCAGGTGAATATGATATTTGTGGTGTTACTCTGAGTGTATATCCACACCGGGCGAGCTTGAAAAATATGCCCGGCCACGGTGGGATTCGAACCTACGACCTTTGGAATACTAGCCCAATGCTCTTCCAACTGAGCTACGCCGTCAGGACGGTTCGAGTAAGTGATATTTCGGAACAGAATCTAGTTCCTTCGATACCAATGTATTCTAGTAATATGAATTTTTTCTGTGTTGGTGTAGTGTACTCAGGTGAATATGATATTTGTGGTGTTACTCTGAGTGTATATCCACACCGGGCGAGCTTGAAAAATATGCCCGGCCACGGTGGGATTCGAACCTACGACCTTTGGAATACTCGAACCGTCCTGACCGCGTAGCTCAGTTGGAAGAGCATTGGGCTAGTATTCCAAAGGTCGTAGGTTCGAATCCCACCGTGGCCGGGCATATTTTTCAAGCTCGCCCGGTGTGGATATACACTCAGAGTAACACCACAAATATCATATTCACCTGAGTACACTACACCAATACAGAAAAAATTCATATTACTAGAATACATTGGTATCGAAGGAACTAGATTCTGTTCCGAAATATCACTTACTCGAACCGTCCTGACCGCGTAGCTCAGTTGGAAGAGCATTGGGCTAGTATTCCAAAGGTCGTAGGTTCGAATCCCACCGTGGCCGGGCGTGTTTTTCGGGCTCGCCCGGTGTGGATATGCACTCAGAGTAACATCGCAAACATATTATTCACCTGAGTGCACAGCACCAGCGCAGAAAAATTCATATTAGTAAGAACACGTTGGTATAGAAGGAACTAGATACTGTTCCGAAATATCACTTACTCGAACCGTCCTGACCGCGTAGCTCAGTTGGAAGAGCATTGGGCTAGTATTCCAAAGGTCGTAGGTTCGAATCCCACCGTGGCCGGGCATATTTTTCAAGCTCGCCCGGTGTGGATATATACTCAGAGTAACACCACAAATATCATATTCACCTGAGTACACTACACCAACACAGAAAAAAATTCATATTACTAGAATACATTGGTATCGAAGGAACTAGATTCTGTTCCGAAATATCACTTCCTCGAACCGTCCTGACCGCGTGGCTCAGTTGGAAGAGCATTGGGCTAGTATTCCAAAGGTCGTAGGTTCGAATCCCACCGTGGCCGGGCATGTTTTTCAAGCTCGCCCGGTGTGGATATACACTCAGAGTAACACCACAAATATC